GGGAACAGTTAGCTCTCTAGAGAACTTCACATTCGTCGCGCCTTCTACGACAAAAGCATCACCCGCTACGAGCAAAAGAAGTGTAAAAGTAAAATAAAATGAATAATGACGAGTCATGCTTATGAGGTAGGATCAACATAGTTGGAAGTTAATCTTGAACAATAGTAAGACTCAAGCACGGAAGGTCCTCAAAAAGTAAAGCACAGAAGTAAGATTTACATCCTCTGTTTTCTGAAGTCACAGGTTCACCAGCTAATACTCCCTCCGTTCTAAATTTTTTTGTCTTAAGTTTGTCTAAATACATATGTATCAAGTCTCGTTCTTGTATTAGATTCGTCTAAATATGGATGTATCAGGTCTTGTTCTTGTATTAGATTCGTCTAAATACAGATGTATCAAGTCTCGTTTTAATATTAGATACATCCGTATCTAGACAAATCTAAAACAAAAAATTTAGGACGAAGGGAGTATATATATGATCAGTAAAGGCGTGAGAAATGCGAAGGGTGGGTTCCTCACCTGCGCCTCCTCCGGCTGCAAACGAGATGTGCTGCGGGCGCCGTGCGCCGCCGCGCGCGACGCGGCAGCCGCTGGCCGATTGCAGAGAGGGGCCGGCCGGCAGGTCGCAGGGCGGAAGGAGACGCGTGCAGACCGGCCTCGCGAGTGCAGGACCAGCCAGCGGAGAGGGCACGACGGAAGCGACCATCATGGCGGCGCAGCTCTTGCTGGGCGGAGAACGGACGACCGGGGACACGCGAGTACCTTATCCTATCTTTTTTTTTAGTAGTATAAAAAGTCCCTTATCCTCTATTTTTTGAGTGGTGTCACTTATCCCATCTATACACTAGCTAAAGGCCACTGGCAACAGAGAGAACCCCATTCTTTCAAGAAAGTTCTAATTAATTATGTAAAAAGAGGAAAATAGGAGTAAGCGGGCACACAATCTACGTTCGTACGCCGACAATGTTGGCCGTCAAGACAATCTACATTTTGACGGAACCAGCCGCTGTGAAGTCACTTTATTTTGCCGAGGGACACTATTTGGCTCTCGGCAAACTCTTTGTCGAGTGTCTGATGGTTGGCTCTTGGCAATTTTCTATTTGCTTGAGAGGTGTACGCCCGGTGGTCTTTGCAGAGAACAACTCTCAGCAAAGGCTTTGCCAAGGGTTTTTGGCCCTTTGCTGAGTGTTTCTAGCACAAGGCGTAAGGTGCGATTCTAGTAGTGCATAGTGATAAAGATGATATCTTCCTGAACGGCATTATGCATTTGAGTAGCATTAATAAATCTTCAATGGTAACCGTGGACATAGAGGGAATAATTTGAGATAAATTAGAGTGCCACACTCGTGAGACGCCATTGGACTGTCTCAGGGATGCTTGCATGCTTGGAGTGTATATAATCTTAATGGTTGCAAACTCTCTCTTTGGGTTCTTCAAGATTATGGTAGCGGGAGCTGGACTCTAAAGCGCGTTGTTAATATTTTGGAACTGTTCGGAAGGCATTGTCTCAAAGATGACAAGTTCTACATGATGTTGGCCATTCATTCAGATTGTAATTTCAGTTTCCTTACCGATCGAGAAATGACGGTCTCGTATGACATAGATAATCGGAAAGTGCATCTTATCAATACTTCTGAAAATTTCTGGGGTTGTGCGCCTTATATTCCCTGTTTTGCAAAATGGTTGTCAGATGGTCGCTCAAAGTGACACTAGCAACCCAATAAAAACCAGTTGTTCGATACGGGCCTAATCTTCTTGTCTTGTGGCACCAGTTTTGATGTGTAATATAACTCATGTGTCACTGATGAAAGAGGTGATTCAGTTCCACAGAACTTAATCTTTCATTCTTTCTTTTTACATATGTTTTTGTTGTTTCTTCTTTTAGGGGAAAATAACTTTGTTTTATTGAGAGGTATAGAACAACATAATTCTCCCAATGATATATTTATACTAGTTTACACTGTGGTAATGCGACAAGATTTTTTTTAATCTTTTATTGGTTAAGCTCTCTGTGGCCATATTTTCTTTTCAAATTCGGCCAGACTAAATTGTTTCTTCTTTAAGGAATAATGTATGATAGTACGAGTCACATAGACTAAATTGTTTTATCAGGCACTAATCATATTGACAGGTTCCCTTATAATAGTTATAATGTATTTAGTATTTATCATCAAGCCAAAATAGGACACCTTAAACAAAATTATCAAAACGATATTAATCATGCAATCCTGGGCAAGTTGCCATTTAGAAACAAACAACAATAATGCACATAGCTTCGGGTTCAGACGTTACCATCTTGAAACCATCAGCCGCACAAGTCACTCTCTCATCACCACCCCACATCACCACACTAGAACCAGATAGTATTAGATATAATCACAGCTCTGAATCCATCCACCGGTGAGTTCATGTGTACAAAAATAGAAAAAAGATGGATCTTGGATGGATGTCTCACATGGATCCCACAAGAGCTGGTGCAGCTTCATCTGCATTCACGAAAACCGCCATGACTAAAGAGTTGTATGGAAAGCAAATCACTCCACCAGTTCCCACAGGATCCATCTGAGACATTCACCCAAGATCTGATGGGCGATGTTGATTTTTTTTTTCTATGTTTGCACACAAAATGTTGCTTCTATTGTAGTATTTCCCAGTTCAGTTCATGTCCAATCAGCCATGCATTTTTTTTAGAACGAAGGCTCAAGAAGAGCCCGGCTTTGAATTAACAAAGCCATCAACCGGCCAGGAGTACAAGAGCGAGACCACCACACAACATCGGCCAAACGATACAAGGGGGCTGCAAGAACAGCTTACAACGCTACACCTACAACCAGCAAACGAAAGATAACTAATGAAGAACTGCTAGTTGAGGAGAAGCCCACTACCGAAAGGCACCTAAAACGACTACAAGTGAAGCCTCGAGGATCAGCAACCGGCAGAGGAGTTGAACTCAGGGGCTGAAAACCAGGGGCTGGAGATGACCCAACACCTGCCTCCTCTAACATCGAAGGGGATCCCTTCCCCTCGCCTAGGCTCGAAGGCGCCGCACCGTCGAATGCAGAGACGCTCACCCGAGAGCTAGAGCAATGGTTGGTCTCGAGTCTGGGGCAGCCACGGAGCATGACCACAAGTCAGAGCACACACACATCAGCAACACCGCAGACACCGAAGGAGACCGATAGTAGAGGGTAAACCGCCGGAAGAGTCACCGAAATGAAGGAGCTACCGAGCCCCAGAGACTCGACAGTCACCAGCCTCCCACCTACAAGCTTCTGCACACAACCCAAAGCACCAATCTTCCCCAGGCGGCGCCTCCAAGGAGGACACGACGCACCTGGCGCCGCCGCCGCCCATCCAGCCGGGATTCGAGCTTTCGCCCGGGAAGTTTGGCCAGGGTGGGGAGGGGAGCCCACAGCGGTGACTCCAGAGAGTAGTATGACGCAAGATGGCGCCGCCGCCACCGCGCTAGAAAAAACAAACAGGGGTTTCCCCCGGGCTCGTCCCGCACCACCAGTTCGGGGAGCACCCCACCGGCACCGGATCCGGCAGCCAGAGGCCCCAAATCGGGCGGACCAGCGGAGTGAGAGCAGGGAGGGGGAGCCTGACCTTCAGATCTGGAACGGAGGAAGGGAAACCTTGCTGCGCCGCGACCGCTACCCACCTGGTCCTCGCCGCCCGCGCAGCCGAGGAGGCCGGCCCGCACCTCCCGCGCACGCCGCCAGCCAAAGAGACGGCGCCGCCTCGCCGACCAGGGCCGCCACCCTGGATCCGGAGCCCTTCGCGAGAACGAAGCGACGAAGACCTCGCCGCCACCATCATCGGCAGCTGCCCAGGCGCTGCTCGGCGACCGCCTCGGGTGGCGGCAAGGGAAGGAGGAAGGATGGAGAGGGGCGGCGCCGGGGAAACCCTAGGCGCCCTCGAGCCGCCCTGGGGAGGGCAGCGCGAGGGAGGGGAGGGATAGAGGTGGTCTCCAGTGAGCTAACCATCAGCCATGCATTTGCTGCCGACCTGATCATCCCTGCTAAGCCATTACTGGAAGTTTATCCACTAGAGAACAGCAATAATTGATATATGGGTCCACAAATGTTATGAAACAAACACTAAAACAAATTGCATGAGTGATGCTGCTGGTTATGACCAAGTCAATTATCCAGGTGCTTGGTCCTTTGCCAATACTAAAGCTATGTGCATGTGTAGTGCATCAATAAGTACAACATTCCTTTGGCAATTCATCACAACTTTGTACACATACTCTGCAGAAGCAAAGTGCCTTCTTTTCGTATATAATAGTAACATGCATGGTGACAAGGAAACACTAAACCCTACATCAGGAAACGTGCCTAATAATCTATTGGCAAAGCAGTAATCATACAAGAAGGCAGGAAGGGAGCAGGCGGGTGAGGCAGGCAGATAGCACATTCTACATTAATCTACAACAAACTGATGTAGGATCTGCGTCAGCATCCAGCAAACCCTTGACCCAAACAAAGCACAATGATTGAGCCTCCAACCAAACATGTTTTTTGGGTGGGCAAGAGGACAATGCGGGGCGACGGTAATGCACTAGCCTTCATTTCTTGATTCCCACTCACCATTTACAACACTGCTACCAGGAAGATATTTCTGAGGCATCCAAAGGACATGTTTTGTCTTGTGTCATGCGCTCATTTGCTGACCATAGATTCACTTTGAGATCCTGCATCATAGACGAAGCTTTCTGTAGTTCTCCATCACCACTGATCTTGGGAAATTGGTCACACGTCCACAGCGCTGTCGAATGACATGAAGAAGCTGGTAACTGTGAGGTACGGGGCACTATGAAGACCAGTTTGGCCAGCAAGTTTGGCATTCAGGCTGGCCGTCCACAATACATTCAATACCCACTGCAGTGATCATCTTCAAGCTTCAGCTTTCAGTAGGTAACTAACTGGATACAATGGATGCCTACTGGATGGCAGTCATTCTTAAGCTTTTGATTTATGGAGATACAAACCGAGCCTTCAGTTGAAACAGCCCATCAGTGTTTTCCTTACTCTATCAACAACACGGTTCCTATTAGTTAGGCTGTTTGACAAGGGAAATTCTTTGCTGTCGTCCAGGAGGAATCGGTAGACCTCCCATTGGCGCTCCGACGCTGCCTGTCTCCCGATTTCTGCCTGAAATGAGAAAGGGAAAAGGTAAACACTAACTCCATTGTTGACTTATTTCACACTTTTTTAATTAGGCTGTAACTCTTACAGAGAAAATGCAGATTCCAAGCGCTTTCAGAGCCAAAGTAGCATCATAGAAGACCCGTGGCCGGCCCTTCCCGGCTAGTTCAACAGGGTTGGCAACAAGGAGCTCAGTGTCAGGTCCACGGTTGACGATCATCACCCTAAGAGGATGGAGCATTTCAGATCTCATGCGGGACCTCAGAGCATCCTGTTTCTCAGGATCAATAACCTTCTTGCCATCTGCTTGCTTGATAAAAAGATCCACCTCTCGAAAACCTTTCTTGTCTGACCAGAATCTCCCATAAGTGACCTAGAAGAATAGAGTAGTTAGAACACACTGATGAAATCTCCTTTTTGCAAGCTGTAAATTTTGTAGTCATTGAAAACGATACAGTGGGTAAACAGATTAAGAGTAAAAGAGAGGAGAATAATTTTTATCATCGTAACAGCAAAGGAGGATTAAAATGCCTTGCTGTAAAACAAAACTAAATTTGACTATTTGATTGTCAGTGTCTTCAGATATTCAGAAAGTCTATGTACAGTCCTCCAGGTACTATTTTTCTCACACAACCTGAATTTTGCATGCGGTTGTATTGTTGACAACTAAGAGGCCGTAATAAATCATATGCTATGTACAACAAATGCATACATATCTTCAACTTCAAGTACCTTAATGTTGCAGTCCTTGAGTGTTCTCAACATGTCATAAAGGAGACCTTTCTGATCAACACAAAGAATTTGGAGCAGTGTGTGTGCAGGACTCAGGGTATTGTCGAAGTTGATGGTGGCCTTCTGCACCTTTTTCATCTCTGCACAAAGAGGCCCTGAACTGCTCTCACATTCATCTAGTTCCAATCTGAACAGCTCCTCAGAGATTGTTGGTGGAAGAGAAGAGAATCCTTGCTGGAACCCTTCCGCAGATAGGATTTCACAAGTTAGGGAAGGGCCTAAGGTAGCAATCAGCATCGAGCAAATCTCTTCTTGCCTTTCCTTCGTATGCAACAGTTCCCTTCAGATAGAAATATGAACTGTCATATATGTAGTAGAATTATTATACCATGCAACCAACCGAAACCATTTGTAATACGCAGCAATTGACATTATAGCAGCAGACAGAGTGTCAAGAGTGAAGTTAATGCTTCAGGTACATGCACAAAACACATGAACTCCAAGATTGTGACTAGCGAGACTTACATGCCATCAGTGATAAAGAAGAGGTTGACAACTCTCCCGTCAGGCGTGGTCGACACCTTCACTCTCTGGATTATAAACTCTAGCTCCGACAGTATATGCGTGACATCTGTGAATAAATAGTACAATTATAGCAAAAAAAACTGGATGCACAGACAATTAGAGCACAAAGCAGGGCAAGAAGTCCTCACCATGCAACAGCCCCCTACGGTCGGTTGAGAAGAGCTTGAGGAGGTAGAACTGCGGGGGCCCTGGCTCGGTGATTTCAGGGTAGAACGGGATGGCGTATGACGAAGGGCACATCGCCATGAGCCGGTTCTTGAGGCTCCCCCACCGGACGTTGATGGATGGCGAGCGTGGCACCACCCAGAAAATCACGTAGCACCACTGCCCGTCCGTCGACACATCTGCTAAATCCGACAAACACACGAGATTTAGACGACAATGATGATAAGAGACCAAACGACATGTACCACAGAATTATGCAGCAGCGGACGAAACAGGGTGCTGTAGAACTCAACAGGTTGCAACGTCTTGCCAGTTTTATTATTATTTATATGCTTATGATTGAAGCGCTGCTAATGATTGACGGCGTGCACACAGTAAGATTAACATGGAAAATCAGGCGACATCACTTGTAATTAACACTTTAACAGCGAGCAGAACATAACTCGTTGAGGTGCCAGCGATTGACAGTGATCATGCAGCAGCGGCATGGACAGGAAAGTCAGAGGAGGTGGCAAGTAGGCCTGAGAAAAGGAAGCCTAGCTTTCCCATAGACTGAATAAGGGATAACCATGATATCTGAACAAACCACACGTCAGTGAGCTGCCTGTACAGCTAATCCTGGGAAATCGACGAACGCAAAGCGGCCAAACATCCCAGCACTTTCTCTTGTCGGGTGGGAGGAGAGCCGTCTTCGTCGAGAGAAAAATCCAAACAGCTAATCCTCGCCAACCACGCCAACCACAAAGGGGAAAAGGGAAAAAACTGAAAATTAAAATAAAATTACGCGCAGCATCGGCGGGATGATGATGATGATGATGATAATCCAGCCGAGGCATGGAATTCGCGCTCGCGATCAAACCAGGCGACTGGATTTCTCGCTGTGGATTTGGGGACATGGTGGGTAAGGTAACAAGTGAATTGGGGAGGGGAAGGACGCGGAGGGCTCACCGCCGCGGGTGATGCGGAGGCCGAACTCGAGGATGGTGCGGCAGAGGTCGCAGCCGAGGCCGGCCTGGTCGGGGCAGTTGACGGTGACGACGTTGTCCTCCCCTTCCCCCGCCGCCAGCTCCATCACCACCGCGTCCTCCACCCCCGGCCCGCCGCCGCGGCCCCCCAGCACCGTCCTCCCGCCGCCGCCGCCGCGGCCCGAGGATCTCCCCGCCATCGGCATCGCCCGCCGGCCCGCCCGGGATCCCGGCCCGGATCCTCTCTCCTCGCCTCGTTTGGCTTCGTGGCTGGGTCGGGTTGCAACTGTGGAGTATCGTGTGGTGTTTTTTTTCTCTTGTTGTTGCTGCACGATGGATGGGTGATCGGCGGGCGCGTTCATATCGCCGGGCTGCCTGCTGGGGTGGGGCCCGCGATTGAGTCAGCGCTGGGAGGGACGCGTGCGGCTGCAGGTGGCTGCTCCGCGAGTACATGAGCGTTCTTAGAGATTTTATAATAGAGACTTACTACATACGGAGCAAAATGAATGAATCCACACTGTAAGATATGTCTATACGCATCCCTATGTATTCCTTGTTGAGATCTCTAAAAAGACTCATATTAGGGCATCTCCAGCCGTTAGCTCCCCAGGACGCATAAAAATCGCCCCCTGGGGGCGAGCCGGCGATACAATCGGCGCTGCGGGCGGTTTTGCGCCCAGTCGTCGCCCCCAGTTCGCTCCTACGCGCCGAAAGTGGCCCACTTTGCAGCCCAATTTCGGCGAATAAAGGGCCCATATGGGCAAGAATAGGCCAATTCGGCGTGGTTTCGCCGTGTCTCGGCGTTCAATTATCAACACAATTATTTCTTATCACATATTTCATCACAGAAAAATCAAATACTTCAACAAAATAGTACAACAACAAATAGTTCGATACAAATTATATAGTTCAACAAATAAAAACTCGTATTTCATCACACGGCGTCCCCCTTGAGCCTCCATAGGTGCTCAATCAGATCTTTCTGCAGTTGATGATGCACCTGTGGGTCTCGGATCTCCTGACGCATACTGAGATAGGCAGTCCAAGTTGCCGGTAGATGGTGATCAACTTCGGATAGAGGACCCTGCCTGTAGTATGGTTCAGTGTCAAACACTGGGTCTTCTTGCTCGCTCTCGATGATCATGTTGTGCAAGATGACACAGCAAGTCATAATCTCCCATATTTGATCTTTGGACCAGGTCTGAGCGGGGTACCGAACAACAGCGAATCGAGATTGGAGCACACCAAATGCCCGCTCGACATCCTTCCTGCAAGCCTCCTGAACTTTCGCAAACCAGGCGTTCTTGCCTCCTACCGCAGGGTTTGAGATCATCTTCACAAATGTCGACCATCTCGGATAGATGCCATCTGCTAGGTAGTACCCCTTGTTGTATTGGTGCCCATTGATCTCGAAGTTCACCGGAGGAGAATGGCCCTCAACAAGCTTGGCAAAAATAGGAGAGCACTGCAGCACGTTGATGTCATTGTGAGTTCCTGGCATACCAAAGAAGGAGTGCCAAATCCAGAGGTCCTGTGTGGCTACCACCTTAAGCACCACACTGCAACCGCCTTTGGCGCCTTTGTACATCCCCTGCCAACCAAATGGGCAATTCTTCCATTTCCAATGCATGCAGTCGATGCTTCCAAGCATCCCAGGAAATCCTCTTGCTGCATTCTGGGCTAGGATCCGAGCAGTGTCTTCCGCATTGGGTGTTCTCAAGTATTGTGGCCCAAACACTGCCACCACTGCCCGACAGACCTTGTAGAAACACTCTATACTGGTGGACTCGGCCATGCGCCCATAGTCGTCGAGTGAATCACTGGGAGCTCCATATGCAAGCATCCTCATCGCTGTCGTGCACTTCTGGATGGAGGTGAATCCAAGAGCGCCAGTGCAATCCATCTTGCACTTGAAGTAGTTGTCGAACTCCCGGATGAAATTCACAATCCTGAGGAAGAGCTTTCGGCTCATCCGATAACGGCGCCGAAATGTTTTCTCGCCATGAAGTGGAGCATCGGCGAAGTAGTCAGAGTAGAACATGCAATAGCCTTCGAGACGATGCCAGTTCTTTGCTTTCACCCGCCCCAGCGCCGAGCCACCTCACCGCGGCTTTTCATTGCTCGCCAGCAGCTGGGCGAGGGCGGCGAGCACCATGAGATGCTCTTCTTCCTGGATGTCGGCCGCGGCTTCCTCCTCCAGCAGCGCGGCGAGCTCTTCCTCCTCATTCGAGTCCATCACCGAGACAGGCAAAACGCCGAACACCTTGCGCTCGGTGGGCGTGTACCCGCCGCTAAACCGCGCCTCCGCGGCCGGAAACGGCGGCCGGAAACACCCAGCTGCTGTGGGAGGGGCTGCCGCGGCGAAGCGCTGCTATTTTCCGGCGGGGAATGGCTATCTAGCGGAGTAGGGTGGCGACCGTCGTCGGGATATAGCTAGTGGTGGCCGAGGGCGCAGGGGGTGCGAGGCGAGTCGGGGGAAGAAAACCTTGACTTTTCCCCTGTCGGTGTGGGCTAGGCGTGCTTTTCCCTAGCGCCGGAGCCCCCAACCGCTCCCCAGCGTGCCGGGTTCGGCCTGTGACCGCCGAGCGGAAAAAAGGTCTGAACGGGCGATTTTCGGCGTCCTGGGGGCGCGACTGGGCCGTTTTTTCGGCGCCGGCGCCGAAAAAGTGGCCTGGGGGGCATGTTGGGGGCGCGGCTGGAGATGCTCTTAGAACTCGGGGGAACCCTAGTCCCGCCGGCCATCCCCTCCAGCATCTTTCCCTTGTCGTCGTCGTCGAGGGTCTCTGCCCGGCGAAGCCTGGACAGTGCCGCAGGCGGCGGGGCCTTCCATGGGCGCGGCTCCTCTCCCTCCCTAGTCATAGGGCAGCTTCGATCTAGCAACGATGGCGCTACTTGGTGACGGGTGTGGTGGGGTGCTTCGCGCGGTGGTGTGTCCAGACTTGCAGTGATGGCTTGGGCTGTCGATCCCTCTGATTTGATATGGGTGGGTTGATGGAGCTCGGCCCAAAGCTGCGCTCGGCCGTGTGCCTCGTCGGCTGATGCGACATGGGGCTCTAGTCAGCAGGCTTCAGGGCATGGATGTTGGCAGGCAGGCAGCGGCGGGTTGGTCGAGGTGGCGTGGGGGACTGCTGCCATGAAAACAATGGTGGCTGTACTCATGCTCTTTTCGTATCATGGCAACGTCCTACATGTTCGGTCCTCCTCGATTTGGCCATCGACGTGTTCCAAAACTGCTGCCAAAGATCCTACCGAAGATATCTGGATCGGATAGAATTCGATCCTGCACGCCATATCGGCCTACGAGGTTCCACGACGGTGTGGTGCGAAGCTCTATTGTTTGTTGAACCCATGGGACATGTCGGCTTCTCGATTTCTATGGTTTAGACAACTCTGGAGAAGGTCATTGTGGCTGAGATCGGAGGATCAGTTAGACAGACGGAGCCTTCGAGGCGATGGAGTCAGCCAAGTGTTTGGTAACTCTTAGGAGCAGCAGTGTCAAGTGTGAGTGGCAGCACTGGAGGAATTCATTTTTGGTGGTGCTCCTTGGGTCCCGACTCGTGACTTTCAGGATGAAAATCTAAGGTCTGGCCTTCATTGCTTGTGTTTAGCAATTGCCTCGCTAAAGGAGTTGTTTTGAGAGCTCAGACTTCTCCAAGATGAAAACCTAAGATCTTGGATCGGGCAACGATGGTGCTTGTGCATTGTTTTCTTCTTGAAGGCGTCGCTTTTGGAGACCTTTTATGTTTTCCGTGGGTTGTATTTGTTCATGGTTTGTGTGTGGCTGCTGGGATAAGTCGATCGCTGTGGCGGGACCTTTGTTTTTTTTCCTTTCTTTTCTGTTTTTTCTTTGGATGTGTACATCCTGAATGTCGTCGCAACGTATTGTAGGTGTAGAGGCTAGGTGTAATTGGTATCTGCACGATATTAATATATTTCCTTTTTCAAAAGAAATAGAAAACGGAGGGAGGAGTGCCTACTAAAGTGATTGATGGGAACATTGCAAAATAAAATTCTATATTAATGAGACACCAAAGCGTCAAACCTGGGTTTGATTTCTGCTAGGCCGGGAGTATGACTTCCCTCCTAACCACCCAACCACTGGTTGATTCTCAGGTGAGATGCAATTGTATTTTTGCTTCGGAGAGCATCGTACCATGCCAACGTAAAACATGTTTTGTTCATAGTTAACTTTTGGCAAGAAAAACAGAAAAAATCCAAAAATAACTGGATGGTTATATTTGTTGTGGTGTAACCATTCAATTGTGATGAATTTGCCCCCGCAAAAAAGTGATGAAATTGGACTGTTTTTGTCGATGAAATAATGGTAAGACAATGTTGTGGTATGCTGGTGTAGAACAGGTAAATATCAGGTGCTCCGGAAGCACCTACGTTGAGGTGCTCCCAGGCAGCTCCGTTGTTGGATCAAGATCATATGATCATGTGTGGAGCCCTTGGACCTATGTGTAATTAAGATGTTCTTGGAGGGGCTTTTTGCAAAGGTCCAAGGGCTCCTCATATGACCATTGGATCCCGATCAACGACCAAGCTCACACCGGGGGGGGGGGTGCAGATATTTTCCGGTGTATAAAATGATGCTTGCATTATATGAATTTATGTTATACTTTCCGATGATGTTTGTTCCATGGGAGATGGTGTTTCCATTGACTATAACTACGAAGCGCATGTGGTGACTTCAACAATTTTGACATTACCAGTTCAATCTCTCGGATGAGCTATGACAAAGGGGCGGCTCTAGAAAACCCAGGCCATGGCGTGAGGTATGGGAACAATTTCTAACCCATATTATCAAGGATATCTCACCTCGTCCATGGGAAACTCACCACCTTGCCATCTAGATGGACCTCAGCAAGTCAGCCCACCACCTAAACTAGCTACTAGAGCAATTAAGCAATGGAAAAAGTAAGTGACTCGTGCTCAACATTCAAGTGAGCATAATTGAAGTAGAGGAACCCTAGCTAGCTAGATGCCCCTACCCACCTTAGCCTCTCCCTTAACAACTCGAGAGAAACCAGTCACCATCATTCATCCAGAGGAGCTACCACCCAAAACCCTTCAAATATCCCGCGTCCAAGTCTCTTCAAACCTGAACGTATTATCCCTCTGGGTTGTCAAGGATCCCAATTTTCTCTTGCGCGCCATTGTCTAATGCCTTGATTGAATGTTGGCCAGGACGATTTCCCCTTTCACTCCATAATCAGTTCCATGTTTTTTCCCATTTTTAGTACAAATTATGATTCCGTTGCCTAAGTTCATATAGTTTAGAGTTTAGTAGTTAGTTTTGTACTTTTATGGTTGCGGCATCCAATACCCAAAAATACACCAAAATCGATTTAGTAATTTT